AATTAATTTGGCGTTACAACAGTGGAGTTGTGCAGTGCGCCATCATGTTACCTCACCTCGCACATTGCAGACTGCAGCGACCGAGTGAGGACTACGCGCTACTTCCGCTTTAGTTATCGCTCCGTCTGGAACGTACACTGATATTGAGCGTGTTCGGGAACCCTAGTCTTACTCTCTGGACGAAGGAAACCTGGAAAGTATTGCTTCCCACCCCTGGTCAACATCGCATGCCCCCCTGGGGTTGCTGTCCCATTATCTGTTGTGTTGTTGTCACTTGCTGCAATAGCCCATGACTATTGTCGTACTTGTTTGCACTCATACAATCCCAGGCTGTACTTTGGAACTGTTTCCATTGCCCATGTACTCCTTATTCTTTGCTTGCTTTTATGCTGAGAGAACATATGCTGGCTCCCTGTACTGCTTAGCCGCGTACTCATTTGGTAGAAATGTGTGAATAATACTACTAGTATCTGACGTGAGTGAGGTGGATGGGCACCTCGGGAACACAAGTTTGAAGTCAGCAAGCAGTCAACTGTTGCGTGAATTTCTTCCGGAACATTGTCTGGTGGGCCCCACCTGTGAAAAAACAAACAAACATTTGTCTCGTCCTGCCGGCCAATTGTCCCCCCTTGTGTGTCCGATGGCTGCGGACGTCGAAATCTGTTACACCCCGATTACACCTGGCCGGAAATCTACTAGCATTTTGCACGATGTTTGACTTGGACAACATTTACTGCCATGCCATTGTTGCCCGATTTTTGTACTCAGACTGACAAACTTACTACTCTTGTTGTTCATGGTTGCCTCTACAAACACGATACAGTCATGTACATCGCTCTGCACATCCATAACATTCTGATGGTCCCGTGACATTGATCATGCACCCTGTGTAGGGCCTAGAGCGGTGCGGGCTGGGCGTTTGTTTGCTCCCTTGAATACGACGGCATGTACACCCCTTTCGATCGTGTCAACTAGATGATTATGTACTTCTTAAATTATCGAAAAAACATCCACAGTCTCAAGTACTGATACTTATCTTTTCTCTCCGGTCCATGTGCGGTCCGAAAACTGGCTGGCTGTCCCAGTGAACTCCGGTTGGTGTTGTCAACAGACAGCTACGACCTTGCTGCCCATCGCCACGATGTCAGACAACTACTTCAGTATGACTGCGGTGTCACCTCTGCCAGGAGCTTCGCCGCCATTTGGGACACGATGTTGTGATCGACAGCGCTCATCACCGACTTCGTAGACTCTCGATCTCATCACTGCGCCCACGGAAAACTCTCAAGGACTCGCTGAAACTTTGAAGAGTATGGTTGCGGTACAGGTAGGTGTCGACTCGGTATGTCGGAACTGAGTGACCAATTGTTTTGTCAACTAAATTTTACTTCCGCAATCTTTGCTGGCGTCCGAAACGCCCTGATTTGTGTAGCTGTCAACGGTGACTCTGCTCCGCCTGGTACCAAACTTGCTTGTGTGTGGCGGATTACGCTCAGCTCGTTTTAGCTGTTTCCGCCTTTCGCAGATCGATCTGCAGCTCCCAAAAACGTCAGGTTACTGGTACATCAGTTTGCAGGCCCAACCAGGTGATGTGGACCTTTTGTAGGCTGGACCGATTCATTATAGACGGTGCACGGCACTGTCGTTTCTTTCTCCTGGACTATTACACTGTAGATCTACTCTGAACAAATAATACGATGAGTTGTGGTGTTGTGTGGCTGCGAGTGGAAACTAAAAACTAGAGACCTTGAAAACTTCCACTACCACGAGGAAAACAAAGACCACGATGGCAGGTTCAACGGAGTTGCGCAGAACAAGAGCAAATGCACGAAAATATTTGTGCGTGAAAAATACGTTTTTTGCACTCTTTCGCTACGCTCAGCCGTGAAAAAACTAAACGTTATTTCAAGTACCGTATCGTATATGCTCCTCAGTCTCAAGCAGGGGGCTGCAAATTTGCTACTCCCCGCAGTCAAATGCGTACCAAGGAAAGAGAAAATAACTTTCGCAAACCACTGCAAGTTTCGACCTTTGTTTCTGTACTCATTCCCGGACTCGAATTTTCTTTCGAACTTTCGCATTGCTAAACGTCCCTATAAACCCCACCTATAGTTCACAGGAAATAGTGGGGGTAAAAGGGGAAGTGCATTGATCTTTCAAGTAGGGTTCATATGAAAGACAATTTGAGATCGGTCCGAGTGGCATATCTCTCGCTTACATACGATTAGCCAAACTCGCCAAATCGCCAATCGTGTGATATAAATTGCCGTAGCGGCCAGCGCATTGATGATGTGCGATCTGCTTAGCTCTGACACACTGAAAGGCGCTCACTGCAGAATTTGGTCATTTTCAATTGTCCTATTATATTCTCGATGTGAAAGAAGTTCTGTGTTGAATGCTGTTAGTGCCGTGAACTGTTTATCGCCCTTCTTCTGCATTTTCGGAGCCTGCCTGTAGCCAAGGAAATGGTTCCTCCAGGGGAACATGCTTGGTATTCGTAATCTCTCCGGAGACATTTTCGGCAAACTTTAAAAAAAGTACAACATCATGTGGCTCACCTGGCTTCAGAAGATTTTAAGAGAGATAATAGAGTCGCCAGCAAGCATAGCACCCATCTTCAGTAAGTGGAAAGAGCAAACGGCATTGTCCTTAGTTGGGGTAAATGCTTAACGTCTGATTTGACCCAACCAAGATTTCTTCACTTGGTCCATCGCTTTTTCGCTTGTCTGCTGATGTCTTTGCACCCCAGCCTTCTCCTGTTGGTTTCACGTCTCAGTACACAACCGGGAGGACAACTGATAAACAGTTAACAGAACTAACAACATTGAAGACAGCACTTATTTCCCATCGGTGCACTTTCCTTTTAATATTAGCTGGGTATAATCACTTTCCATAAGGAATATGCATAATTATATTGAACATTGTTAATCGATCAACTAACTTAAAGTATTAGAGTGCCGATAGACTTTTCAATGGGTGAACTTGGCCTCGGGATAGCGTAGTTATAAAAAATACCCCTCTAGTGATGTGCCAATTAGCCACTGGAGAAAATGCTATATACAGTATGTGAGCCGCGCCAAGCTAAAAAGTGGCTTCGTGTTTTGCCAACAAATCGAGAAAATCACCAAAACGTCACAGTTGGTAAAATTCTACTCGAGCGCGATCGCGAAAATATTCACTTGTCTTTCATTCAAGTTTGCAAGAGGATCAAAGAGAGAAGCCTTTTTATGTTTGAGCAACACTTCTTCAGTGTTCCCTCTTTCATCGTTGTGGGGATTCCTCAGCGCTGCCAGAGATCGTAATGGCGCTTCTAGAGAATGTGGAGGTGAGCAGGATGACATTCTGTATCCATGTGCGCCCAAACCTACTTGACGAGGAAGAGTCGCTCATTCATAGTGGCTGTGTTTCTTATCGTGGCCACGACTAGAGCGACGAGTATAGTTATGGGGAGACGTCTACAAGCCTTCCGACTATCATTCTGACAAGCGGCCCTGGTGACTTGGCTCTTCCTGCGATGTTTCACTTTGTTTCGGCTCACTTCAATTTAGTGTTCATGGCGTGGCGTACTGGATTCCAAAATTTCCTCGTTTCAAGGAAATAGTGCCACACGACGAAGCGATGCATTGACTCTACCCGCTAGCATATTGTCCCGTGACCCCTTCTACCAGTATCCTTGGCAGGGAAGAAGAATGACATGGACTAGGACGGACAAAGAACCAGTGCCGCTTGTTAACGATGTGCAGTCTACTGGACCTATATGTAGGAGATGTCTGGCACAGCACTACGAGCTACATGAAAGGATTAATTCATCCTGGCATAGGTGATTGGAGAGAGTATGACGGACTGTCTTGGTAAGATGCGACGTTCCCCAACCCAGCGAAAAATATAGTCACAACATCATGATGAAGGATATGAAAATACTATTGCGCGATAAATTGACATGAGTCAGGATGAAAATTTTAAAATGTAGATCTGTTATTTCTTCTTTCTTGGATCTTCTATTAGAACACAAGTTCTTATTCTTCTTGTATTGCTTGCACACCTGCTAAGCTTTGTCTCCACTTGGTGTCCCATGTTTTCTTGGAGTTTCGGAATGTCTTGGAATCCTTAGTGTCATTGATACCAGCCATTCTGTGACATGTGCACAATGTATGCTTATTTATGGCACATATAGATTTCAGATGGGCACCAAAATTTCCATGATGGAAGTTGGATATATAGACATCACTTTGGCATGAAAAAAAGAAATTTCCAAAAATTATGCCTAAGCCACCTTTTAGCTTGGCTCGGCTCATGTACTGTGGCGTGATACGGCTATATCCCAATGTTTGGACTTTTGGAGAAGTGTGCAATAAGTAGCATGAGCAAAATAGACATGTGGATGCTTTAATCCGAGAATAGAATGGCCAAACTTGACCGCACTTAAAAGCCACAAGATGTTGCTTGAACAATTGCTACATGATGATGAAATACGAAAACCATCCAACAACCAGGGAAGTATCGCGGGAATTATCGGACATTTGATATCCAAGTACAGTGTGTTTAGTATACAACTATCTCT